GGTGCCGACTAGATGGTTCATGTAGTAGTAACTTGATCATTTCTTTTGCATCTGATTCCATATGAATTTCCAATAAGTGTAAGTCTGCCGCTAACATCAAACCATCTTGAAGAGCCCATAATTCAGCCTCTAAAGCCGAAGCTGTACCTATATTCCTCATGAATCCTGCAACCCACCTGCCCGAACTATCACGAATAATTCCACCTCCTCCTGCTCGGTTAGGGGATGTTTTTGAAGTTCCATCAACATTTAACTTGAACCGACTGTCTCAAGGAGGCTTCCAGCCAATTGAGACAGTGTGTACAACTTTGGATGACAGATTTTTATCAGTAACATGTTGCCATTCAAGAGCTCGAGCCACCACCAATGCTGCACTGAAAGGGAATGGGTTGGGTTGGAAACAACAAGCATTACGGTGCAGCCAAATTTCCCAACACACAAAAGGGAAGATTATGGTCCAATTTACAGAAGATGGGTGTACAATTTTGGTTTGACAGTGAGTTTGATCCAAGAATGGAGGTCAGAGGAGAAAGAAAAGAGTGCCGTTGAGGGAATACCAATACGAAACCAACATTGGGCTGCAAATGGACAATCCCTAAGGACGTGAATAGTGGTCTCGGGAAATTGTTTACACAAAGGGCAGAGGTCATCTTGAACAATATGCCTATGGAAAAGTTGGGTTTTGGTGTTGAGTTTTTGATGAAGCGCACGCCAAAGGAAATGAAGGACTCTTGGGGAGGCCAGGACAGCCTAAAGCCAGGACCAATTAGGAAGAGGCAGTGACGCCTGAAAATTGCAGGTTAAAAAATAAGCAGAGTTGCTTTTGAAAATCCCATCGGTGGAGTGTTTCCAAACTCTAATGTCAAAACCCGACTCAAACCAAGAGGGAGATAAGCTTGTAATGGACCTAACAACGTGAGGAGAAAGAACGAAAGAAAGGGCTGAAAAATCCCACTGATTATTCACCCAACAGTTATGGACAAGCAATGAAGATTCGTTAGAATTTAACGGGCCTTCAATGCAATTCCTAATTGGTCCACACTTAGCCCAATCGTCTAACCAAAAGCAAGTGTTTAAGCCACTTTTCACCAACATTTTAGAGCCTTTCTCAAGGATATTAAGCTCCTTTCGCATACTCCTCCAAACAGGTGATATCCTATTTCTATCGCCCCCCACATGACCGTATTTGGACTTAAGGGTTCTAGACCACAAAGCGTTGTCATTACGAATCAAATGCCAATTCAACTTGGCCATAGACACTTTGTTTATTAAACTAGTTTGCCTAATGCCTAACCCTCCAAGAGCTTTAGGTTTGGTGACCGTGTCCCAAGCAACCCCATGCACCGCCCTATGTTCCACCGAGGAACCCCATAAAAAATCACGATGAGCGCAAATTTGGGGAGAAAATAACAACAGATTTGGGGATAAAATTGCATTGCATTATGTATGCAGGAATGGCCGCATTAACCGACTTGATGAGCGTAGCTCGACCTGCAAAAGATTAAATTTTGTTTTCCATCCGGCGAGCTTACTTTGAACCTTGTCAATCACAAATTGGAAGGACTCTCTATCAGGCCGGAAGTGGTGGATCGGACAACCCAAATACTTACCAAGGTTACGAGTAGTAGGAATACCAAGTGTATGAGAAAGGTGATGTTGCAAGTCTTCATATACATTGGCCGAAAAGAAAACTTTGGACTTGTTAAAACTGATGTTTTGGCCAAATAAGGAACAAAAGTCTTGCAAAATGGAAGAGATTATAAGACAATTGGGTTCCGAAGCTTCTCCAAGTAAGATGAGATCATCAGCAAAAAATAGATGTAATAAAAGAGGACCCGCCCTAGACACACGGATAGGAGACCACTCATGATTTTGGCAGGCTTCGGTGACACGAGCTGAAAGATATTCCAGGCAAAGGATAAAAAGATATGGAGAGATGGGATCACCTTGCCGTATGCCTCGAGATGGAAAAAATTCTTTAATTTTTTCACCATTAAACAGCACTGAAAGTGAACTCGAGAAAACACAGGACATAACAAGTTCTATCCAACTCAAAGGAAAATTGAAGGATCGCATGATGTTACGGATAAAACTCCACTCTAAACGGTCATAAGCTTTGTCCAAATCAAGTTTAATCAACATGCTACCTTTCCTGCCTTTTTTCTCCTTAAAGCTATGAACAATTTCTTGCATGATGATAACATTATTGGTACCTCTTCTAGCTAGGATAAAACTTGATTGAAGAGGACTGACAAGAGACTCTAACAGAGGTCGAATACGAGCTACAAGGAGCTTAGTAATGAGTTCGTAAATGGTGTTACAAAGCCCTATGGGTCGGAATTGGGTTATGGATTCTGGACTAGGGACTTTAGGGATGAGGTAGATTAAGGTTTTATTGATCTCCGTATTGATATGGCCAGTCACAAATGCACAGGAGATTACTTCACAGATCGGTGGGGCAAGTAGATACCAAAACTTTTGAAGAAAGATGGGGTGGAGTCCATCAGGCCCAGGGGCCTTCCAGGGTTTGAATGTCCACAAAACTCGCCTAATCTCTTCCAATGAAGGAGGGGTTGAGAGGGAGGGATGAAGAGACGAATCAATGGTGGGTAAGAAAGAGTAGGTGGGTTCGTCACAAAGGGACACACTAAGTGAACAGGTAAACAACCTTCTAAAGTGATCCATAACATTGGATTTGATGGTATCAATTTCACAAACCCAGGTATTGTCCGAATTTTTAAGAGCGAAAATTTTATTATGTTTACGATGAGAAATGGTCATTTGGTGGAAAAAATGAGTGTTTTTATCCCCATCTAAAATACGGTTCACTTGACTTTTAAGACTCCAGAACTCTTCCTCCAGACTAAGAACATGGTTATAGTCTGCAATAAGGGACTGTTCTAGTTGCAGAAGATAAGGAGATGGTCCATAATTAAGGGATTTTTGAACACCAAGGATCCTATTGGAAAGTTTCTTTTTACGAAAGAAAATGTTACCAAAGACAGTTTTGTTGCAAACAGAAACTTTGTCTACAAAAACCTTAGCCCTTTGAGTGAAGTTGGCATTGGACCAACTGTCAGACACAACGGTAGAAAGAGACGGATCCAACAACCAGATAGTTTCAAAGGGAAAGGGACGAGCAGTCCTAGAGGGAAGAACAGAGTGCGTATGCAAAAGGATGGGGCAATTATCTGAGTGGAGTTTGGGCAGGTGTAAAACTTTATTATTTGGGAAGAGTTGGGCCCAAGCTCCATTACAAAAACATCGATCCAGTCTTTCACTGATAAAGCTGCCGACTTGTCTTCAGTTATTCCAAGTGAAGCGTGGGCCAGAAAAACCCATGTCAATCAGCCCACAATGGTCTAGATAGTCCTTGAATAACATGGCTCTGTGATGATTAATGGGCTGTCCTCCAAATTTCTTTGTACTAATCAAAATCTCATTGAAATCTCCCATTAAAAGCCAAGGCAAATTATGAGCATCAACAAAATTTTTAAGATTATCCCAAAGAATTTTTCTAGTATTGAAACAGGGGCTAGCATAAATAGCTGAAAACAACCATGCAGTAGGTGAGGAGAGTACCTGGATACATGCGTGGATTTCCTGCTGCGTGACCGAAATGACATCACAATGGATCTCTTGACCATTCCACAGCAACCAAATACCCCCAGCTAAACCAATTGGTTCTGAGTTATGAAAATATGGAAGACCCAAACTCTTACAAATAGTCATGCCCCTATCCCCGCCAATGCAAGTTTCCATAATAACAACTAACTGTGGGTGGTGCTCTTCTAGTAAATTTCAAAAATGCCTGCGGAAATGGGAGTTGGCTGCCCCACGGCAGTTCCACAAAAGCACCTTCATTGGAGCTTTAAACAGTGGTAGTGGAAGGAGTGCAAACTCCTCATTGTTCAACACTTCCTCCTTCGGAGAGATCCATTTGGGCCTCAGACCTAAGGCTTCGTCTGAGTGAAGGTATGGATACAGTTGGATCGTGTGTTCGAAAGCTCTGTTTTCTTGCATTGTGCAAAAATCTGCGATAAAGCGTAGTCGTTGGAGCTTCGGAGATTGTTCGACCACTATTGCTTGATTGAGGTGACCCGTGATGGTGAACTCTCAGGGTATTAAATCCATTTGCATGAACTCCCGTGTTGGTAGGGGTGGGGCAGAGAGAAAAGTTTCCTCGATCAGTGGTTCGAGTATCGGTTGATAATTTGAAAGCAAGTTTGAGGAGGGAATGATCACTTGGTTTAACTGTATGATCTGGTGGGGAGAGTCCATCGCATGGGTGAATGGAGTGGACAGGTAGTTGACAACCACCGTTGAGCGGTGAGGCAGTGGGGATGGTAAAGGTAGGAACATAAATAGGTTCATCCACATGTTCATGATCTCGCTGTCGTACCAGCCCAAGATGTGATTTGGGTCTCGTTGAATCATCTCGATCAGTCCGTCTCCCATCCTGGAGTCACCGTTTGAGGTCTCCATGAACCAACCTTGTTGGTTCTGCCCTACCACACTGTTCAGACGAAAAGGGAGAGCTAGGTCTGGGAGAGCTAGGTCTGCCACTGGTTTGTATGGATGGTTGGAGGTGTTGCGAGAGTTGGTGTGGGGAAATTGGGGATTTCGACGTGGCATGGTTTGGTGGAGAATGAGGGGGAGGATGGGGTTCTGAAGCTTGGTTTTTTCTGAGGAGGTTGAGGGGCTAAAGAAGTTGTAGAAACAGTGGCTAGAGGAGGTGGGTTAGTGGTAACACAAAATAACGTAGACAGTGTAGAAGAATCACCAGGGTCAGAGAAATTATTAGCAGACTGGGGAATATCGGGAGATGGGTTCAACAAAGGATAAGGGCCTAAATCAGTGTTAGAAAGACTAGGAGGATGTAACGAGGTGGCAGGGCTATCACTGAGGCAAGCAAAAGGGTTGCTCAGGGACACCTCAGGTACTGAAGGGTCACTATCAACAATTAAGGTGGCAGAGGAGGGGGTCAACGAAGTGAGAGGTTATGGCTGACCATTAGGCACCAAAATTTGAATTTCAGTCTTCTTCACCCAGACCTTCCGTGGTTGAACGTTGGAGTGGCTTGCCGGGTCCTGCTTCTTAGAGCTCTTGGAGCGTTTCTGAACTAACATCCAAGGGCCAAAAGGCTCACCATCTGCTGGAGGAGTATTTGCTTGGTTCTCCACTGGAGTATTCTTATTGGCAGTATTCTGCCACTCCTCCACTCTGTGACCAATCAGACCACAATGGAAGCAAACAGAGCTCAGACCTTCATAGGCTACCCTGACTAAACTAGACCCCACTGTGATCTTAGCTATTAAGGGCTTGGCTAGATCAATTTGGATGCACAAACGCGCAAAACGACCCCGATCTCCATTGACTGTATGGATGTCCATTTTATGGAGCTTACCTAGAGTATTCCTAATTTTTTGGAGAATAGAATGATCATAGTATTCAATTGGAAGACTGTGAAGTCTAGCCCAAACTATGGTGGTAAATAGACTGGCCTTGGTTGGTTGAAAATCTGGCTCCCATCTTCGAACTGAGAGGAAATTGCTTCCCACGAACCAGGGACCATCAGAGAGGACTTTGTTAAGATCTGATGCTTCATTGAACTTAATGAGATAAAAGTGATTCCCAAGGTCAATACCATGGAAGGTACTAGTGGGTTTCCAGAGACTTTTCAGCTTAGACATGAAGAAATTATAACCCAGATTCCGACCCACTAATTTAACAATCAGTGTGCTTCGCCAAGGGTCTCTGATCCTATCAATCTCATCTTTAGAAAGGAAAATGATAGGGATTGTGGTCTCTAAATTAGAAACCTCTAATGTTGCTGCCCCAAGGTCCAGCGCTGTTGCCCTAAGGTCCAGCGGTTCCAAGCCATCTGTCAAGGAGAAAGGGTGAGTAAGGGCGTCCTTAAAGGAGCGAGGCTTGGCTACGTTATCGCCCACCGGATCTTTCAGCTTTCGGTGATGTCGCTCCAACAAGTCTGCCTCCTTCACTGAGCGTTCTGAGTCAGTGTCCTCGCCACCATGGTCTTGCTGTGAGCTTGCTACCGTGGAATGGATCTTCGTCCCTACGATGTCATCTGGTTGCCGCGCTGGAGCTCTGTCATGTTCCATCTTCCTCTCTCTCTCCACTTCTTTATAACCCATATTCTTTTTGACTATTCCATTAGGTCCTATTTGAGATAAGAAGACCAAAACACCCTCAATCTCTCTTATCCCCATTAATATTGATATTTAATGTTGATTGTCATTATGTTTTGGTAGTTCCTATGACCATTCACTCCAAAAAAATGCATTATCTACACATCACTATTTAACGTTGATATATATTACATACACAAAATTACACATAGTTTTTTATTGGTTGTCATTATGTTTTGGTAGTTCTCATGTATTCAAATATTGACTGTACATGATGACGTGAATGTTTACATTAGATGACGTGAATGTTCACATTGGATGACGTGAATATGAATGTTTACATTAGATGAAGTGTGATAAATGTGATGTTAAGATTCCCATAAGCATTGCATCAAATTATATAACCACAAGCCTCAACTTTCATTTGAATATAAACATGATTATACGTGATGACGTGAATGTTCACATCAGATGACGTTAAAAATATGTTCATCTCAGATGAGAGAGAATGTTCACATTACTTTTAATGTGCTGTTAATTAAAAATATATTCACCTTATATAATAATATAAAATAATAACATCAATATTATTTAATTTGTGTATGAAATTTCCTATACCTTGGTCCTTTCCCTTCTCTCTCATCCCTCAACATTAAATACCAACATTAAATATCAATATTAAATATAAAGTCATAAGAGTTTAAGAAAATAGTATAAATCAAGAAAAAAGACTTTATAGAATAAAACTATAAATACATGGGACTAAGTGGGTTAAACAATTTTTTCATGGACTTCTTGGGTTAGAACATTTCAAAATAGGATTTATCAATAAAAATTCCTATTAGGAATCTAGATTTAACTACCTATAAATTATCTTGAATTATCATTTTTTATTCAAATTTATTTTACATATAAATTTTACACTACATAAATTCAACAACCGTGCTACATAGCCTGAATGTACTGGGGCTCGACTGCCCCAAATTTTCAAACGACATTTGAATTTTTTTCCCCCCCTTGTCACGACCCAAACCCGGCCCTATGGGTTTAGCACCGTAACCGGCCAGTAATCCGAGATTACCGAAGGCCTGCTTAACAGTAATATAGTAAAACAGAGTACAGGGCCTGGCGGAAGCCAATACAGTAATTAAACAATGCCCAAAGAGCTGTGACAGTCTGTATGCCAAAAAGATTTTTCATGCATTCATACATATACAAACAGTACGGAACAGTATGTACAATATTGACATCCATTCAAGCTAGGGACTCAACCCTACATAACCGTACAGAAAACATTCCGTCTGTACAAACAGTACGGTCTATACAAAACAGTGAAACAGTACAGAAGGGGGAATTGTAAAAGACCCCTAAGCCTTAACAGGTAGGCTCGGAACCTCGCAGTGAGGCACATAGGCTGGCTTGACAAAACTGGAGTCTAACCCGCGCTCCTAGCTCCGGTCTGGTGCCTGTACACCTACATATATATATGAGCAGTGAGCTAAAGCCCAGTGAATAACATAAAGCGTAAAGGGGTTTAGAATGAATGTCCTTACAGTATGAAAACAGTTCATTTCAATCAGTAATTCAGTTGCTCAGTACAGTAAACAGTCATATGTGGTACATCCATTAGAATATCAGTAACAGTAGGTCTTAAAAGACCGAACAGTAATGATGGCCATCAGTCAGTAAACAGTAGCGGTTCCACGAGGGAACCGACAGAGATCTCTGTAACAGTAACAGTAACAGTAAACAGTAGATACTAAGGATGCCACAGTACAGTTCAGAAATAAAGGACATACATTCACTCAGTAATACCAGTTCAGTAAACAGTTCAGTTCAGTATTCAAAAGATAATCAGTTGAACATATCTTTACACAATTGTTACTCACAGAGTTCTGGGCTACAGTAGCAATAGATGAAGCATAAGATCAAAACCCTTAGTACTACGATATCTAGAACTTCTTGGAAAATGAGATTTATCCACCAAGGGAAAATGCAGGGCAATACAGCGGATGGCCATTCAATTTATCATTTGCGGAGGTGAACTGTACAAAAGAGGTCATCTGGGAATGTACAAGTTGTGTATCAAAGCAGCGGAATCAAGGCGCGTGATAGAGGCCATTCATGGGGTAGAGTATAGAGTGCACATGAACGGAGTAATGTTAGCCCGGAAGATTCTCAGGCAAGGTTACTATTGGTTCACTATGGAGGAGGATTGTATTGGTATTGTTCAGCGATGCCACAAATGCCAAATTCATGCGAATCACATGAATATCCTGCCATCAAAACTGTACAACATGACTTCGCCATGGCCTTTCTTAGTCTGGGGAATCGACGTCATCGACGCAGTCACACCGAAAGGGTCAAATGGGCATGAATACATTCTGGTGGCAATTGATTACTTCATAAAGTGGGTG